AACTCCTGACCTCAGGTGATACACCTGCCTTAGCCTCCCAAAGTGCTGGAATTACAGACGTGACCCAAGGTGCTCCGCCAATGATTGTGTATCTGCACCATTTGTTGCTGTCCCTTCTAGCCCCTTCAAATGTAGGTACTGGGGTTAAGGAGCTGAATTTTTTTTTTTAAAGATGGGGTTTCACCATGTTGGTCAGGCTGGTCTTGAACTTCCGACCTCAGGTGATCCACCCACCTTGGCCTCCAAAGTGCTTGGATTACAGGCGTGAGCCACCACACCCGGCAAGGAGCTGAATTTTACATTTTATTTTAATTAAATTGAAGTAGCTGTATGTAGCTAGTGTATCCCATCAGCCAGCGCGGCCTTAGAGGGCTTTCTAGAATTTGTTTTAACTCACTACCAGGCTACGTATACCTAAAGGGCTGATTCGATGCAAGCTCCCCCTAATCAACCTTCCACAGACATTTGTGGAATGAGTGAAGGGTCCATGGGGAAAGGGGGCCAAGGACATCAGCAGAGGTTTCCCGGAAGAGGCCATCTGGTTCCAGTGTGAATGCTTGCAGTGTTAGCTCTTCAACCAGTCTCTCTGAGTGCCTGCCAAGAGCATGGCACTGCGTAGACTCCTGGGGATACCAGTTGGATATGAGGTTGTCCCACCTGCTCAGATTTTACAAATAGACTTCTCAAGGACAAATAATTGGTGATAGGGTAGGAATCTGACCCGTGGATGAGCACTTTCAGATACATATCCTACTGACAGTCAAGCACAAAGCGCAATCCCAGATAGCTCTGTTCAAAATAGAAAAAGCCAGGCCGGGTGCAGTGGCTCAAGCCTGTAATCCCAGCACTGTGGGAGGCCGAGGCGGGTGGATCATGAGGTCAAGAGATCGAGACCATCCTGGTTAACATGGTGAAACCCCGTCTCTACTAAAAATACAAAAAATTAGCTGGGCATGGTGGCGTGTGCCTGTAATCCCAGCTACTCAGGAGGCTGAGGCAGGAGAATTGCCTGAACGCGGGAGGCGGAGGTTGCGGTGAGCCGAGATCGCGCCATTGCACTCCAGGCCTGGGTAACAAGAGGGAAACTCCGTCTCAAAAAAAAAAAAAAAAGAAAAAGCCTGGGGCCAGGTGCGTTGGCTCAAACCTGTAATCCCAGCACAGCACTGTAATCCCAGCACAGCACTTTAGGAGGCCGAGGTGGGTGGATCACCTAAGGTCAGGAGTTCGAGACCAGCCTGACTAACATGGTGAAACCAGATTCTCTACTAAAAATACAAAGTTAGCGGGGCGTGGTGGCGAATGCCTGTAATCCCAGCTGCTCGGGAGGCTGAGGCAGGAGAAGCGCTTGAACCTGGGAGGCAGAGGTTGCAGTGAGCCAAGATCATGCCATTGCACTCCAGCATGCGCAACAAGAGCAAAACTCCGTCTCAAAAACAAAAAACAAACAAACAAAAAAAAAGAGAAAAAAATTGAATACCATCTAAAAGTTAGGGACCTAATTAAATCATTCTTGCACCATTTATCTACCCAGTGAAATGCTATGAAATCATTAAAAAGAAGTCCAGGCGAAGCGGCTCATGCCTGTAATCCAAACACTTTGGGAGGCTGAGGCGGGTGGATCTCCTGAGCTCAGGAGTTTGCGACCAGCCTGACCAACAAGGTGAAACACCGTCTCCTAAAAAATCAAACAAAAAAAACCCCCAAAAAACCTATATATGCTGATGTAGAATGATTTCATATCCTTAAATTAAAACAAAACAGGGCCAGGCGTGATAGCTTATGCTTGTAATTCCAGCACTTTGGGAGGCCCAGGCGGGAGGATCACTTGAGCTTAGGAGTTGGAGACCAGCCTGGGCAACATGGCAAAACCCTGTCTCTACCAAAAATATAAAAATTAGCTGGGCCAGTGGTGCACTCCTGTAGACTCAGCTCAGCTACTTGGGAGGCTAAGCTGGAAGCACTGGTTGAGCCCAGGGGGAGGCTGCAGTGAGCCTAGATTGTGTCACTGCACTCCAGCCTGGGCAACGGAGCAAAACCCTGTTTCTTTCTTTTCTTTTCTTTTCTTTTTTTGAGATGAAGTCTCGCTCTGTCGCCCAGCTTGGAGTGCAATGGCGAGATCTCCGATCACTGCAACCTCCGCCTCGTGGATTCAAGCAATTCTCCTGCCTCAGCCTCCCCGAGTAGCTGGGATTACAGGCATGCACAACCAAGCCCAGCTAATTTTTTGTATTTAGTAAAGACGGGGTTTCACCATAATGACCAAGCTAGTTTTGAACTCCTGACCTCAAGTGACCCGCCTGCCTCGGCCTCCCAGAGTGCTAGGATTACAGGTGTGAGCCACTGTGTCCATCACAAGACCCTGTTTCAAAAAAAAAAAAAAAAAAAAAAAAAAATTCAGGAGCTATGATAATCGTATATGAATAGAAGAACTATGAATATGAGAACAACTTCAATTCCTTAACAGGATTCTGGTTTCTGAGAGCTCCATTCAGAGTCTGCCTTTCCTTGAGAAGCAGGTCCCTCATCCTTCCCAGTCCTGGGTATGTCCCAATGGGAACTGCATCTTCTTTTCTGTATCCTCTCTGTCTTTGGGCACAGGGTTGCTCAATCAACCTTTGATGAATGAAGAATGGATGGGGGTACCTCAGGCAGGATCTGACTGGGCCTTTTGTAAGATTGAGCAGGAGGGTCCAGGAAATTACTATTATTACGTTTCCAATACAACTGGCCTGGTGTTTTCCTGCAAGAGAAAGTATATCTCTGGGATAAGCACCTTCACCTTCTCTCTTCCCTCACCTACTCTCCACTTCTTTGGGACAATTAGCCAACACTGGGAGGGAGCTCCAGGGTCTCAGCCCTTCCCCCTTTGGTCCAAAATAACCTCCTCCTCTACTTTGAGCAAATGCTTGGAATTCTTTCAACTGGAGGACAAAGCCTTTCATCTGCCAATTACTGATAAAGAGAAAATGCAAATATGGGGGGGGAAGGTGATTCATCAAGGGCCCAACATTTACTGAGTGGCCACTTAGGACCCGGTGGCAGGGCAGGCATTCTGGGGGAGGCCAAGGGGAACAAACTCCCGGCTGGCCCATTCTTCTGTCGCGTTTGTGGTTTCCTCGAGGTTTGTAAAGGGAGGGGATTAAATTAGGTGACTACCCAGCCCCTTCCCACTCTGACAAACCAGGAGCTCCTCATGAGGTGATATATGGACTTAACCGTTTTTACACTAAGGTGGTTACCGTCGGACCTTTTCCTGACTCCAGCTTTTGGGGCCACCACAAGGCCACCTGGGGAGAAAAAAGGGCCTCAGGGAGAAAAATTAATTAGATCAAGCATTCTATTTTTTTTTTCCTTTATTTCACTTAATTCACTTTGCATCACTCTCCAAGCTCATGCACTCTGCTTTGAACATGTTTATTTCATTATAGGGCAGTAGTGAGACTGGTAAGTTACTAAAAAAAAAAACAAACAAAAAAAACCCAACACCTGATGGCCAAGCCAGGCTCCAGTGTGAGCCCTGGCAGGGGCACATATGAGCTATGTGATCCTGGGTGAGTGGCTTTGCTTTTTCTAGTCCTAATTTCCTTCTTTGCAAAATAGGAACGAACCAGACTATCTCTTAAAGGGTTCCTGTGAGAAAGACAGGAGCAAATAAAATGGTCCACGAGCTGAAGGCAGAACTCGTAGCAGTCAAACTAAGGGTTACTGATTGGACGCCGCAGAGCCAATGTGGGCGATTTCAGTTTGGAAACAAATTTTGATGTTTCCCAGCCTCATCCTTGCTAAAAGATTTTTATAGCTAGTGAACATGAATGAAAACAAACTTCAAAGAGTAGCCTTTGGGGGTGGGTGAGAAAGACTACAGAAAGATAGGACTGGAAACTTCTAAGGTGAGTGAGGGGGAAGCTCTCTTAGGGTGACCAATACGATGCTGATAGTGACATCCTACGTCAGGCGGGGAAGTCCCTTCCCCCCACCCCCCACATGTCTATCTGATAGCTTGGGGACCGTATGGGGGAAGAGCAATCAATCATTCAGAGTCATAATTTCTCTGAGCCTCAGTTGCCCCATCCGCAAAATGACCTGCTCCAACTATCCCACAGTGTTAATGGCAGAAATAAAATGCCAGGCTCAAAGCCTGCTCTCTACAAAGTCCCTTTATACTCGCCCTCTTGCCATGTCATTTTATCATCATCTGTTACCCCCAAGAGCAGGCCTAGCAAGGCACCGCAGCTGGGGCTGGAGGAATGTTTAGGGCCAGATTTCTCAAGCCTAGTCGACCTGAACTGTTGCTCATGATGGGAGCACATCCCAGGACCAGTGCTGGGGTCGTCACAAACACTAGTAAGTGGACAGGAACCTAATGAAACCCCTGTATGTACGGAGGTTGCCGATACCTCTGCTAAGAAGCCCTGTATGATTCATCAAGGGGCACCAGAGTCCCCCTCACCCATCCCAGAGCCCCATGCACCTTTCCACCGACTCTTCTATAAACCGCCAGCAAGGTCTTACCCTTCGCTCCTGTGCGGGCTGCGTTAGGAGGCGCCAGATCCGATTCTTTCCGTCTTTCGCTCCTGAGTATCTATCTGCTCCCCTGGCCGAGCGCAAGAGCCTTTAAAAAACGTCCAACTTCTGTTTCAAGGCTGGTCGCCTCGTAAAGAACTCCACAGAGGCGGGCAGAATGAATGAATGAAAGGCCACGTCTTCCGGTCAGCTGCGGTCTGCAAAGGCTCTGGTCTGGCTGTATTTCCTGTACGTGTGTGTGTCCGTATCTTTGAGTGCCGGGAGTTTAAAAGTTAGGCAATCCTTAGAGGTGTGGAGCTGAGCTAATTTCCTTCTGAGTACCCCAAATGCCTCCTCCATATGGCAGGTCTGCAAATGGGGGGATCTGCAGAGGATCACCCCCCACGAAAAAGACATGCAGCAGCAAAACAAAAAAAGAAAAAAATTATATATACAAAATGCTTTGAATTTGAGTCGGCCACACAGGTAATGTGGGGGGAGGGGTGGATGAAATAAGAGGAAGAGGGGTAGCCCTGGGGCTTGGGGGCAGGGACGGAGGTGGGGGGTCGTTTTTGGGGGTGCCAGGCCCCGGGGGCTTTCACGCCAGCTTGTTCGGCTTGCATTTCCGCGCCTCCCGCTGAGGCCAGCCGTGCAAATCTGCACCTCCCTCCCCGCCCCCTCCTCCTTCCCTCCCTCCCTGCCCCGCCATCTCCGGGATGCGCCCGCCGCCTGCAACTCGGCCCTCCAAAAGTCAGCTCTGCACACAACTCCCGGGCGGCGGCGGCGGCGCCTGCGTGCAGAGGCGCACTCGTGACCCAACAACAAAACAGCGATGCCAGGGCGCTAACGGCGCCCGGTGCCTCCTGGGCTCCCTCCCGCCCCACACCTCCTCGGGCCGCCGCCCCCACTCCCCCACGTCCCGGCCGAGAGCCCCCCCAACTCGCCGCGCCGCGAGCTCCGAGCGCGATCGGCAACAATGTTTACGTTCCGGGGATTATGACGTCGACGCCTCCCCCCCCCACAACTGCTGAAAATGGTTTCCTAGGACTTTGCAAACGGATCTGCCTAAGTGTTGGTGCAAAACTTTGTAGATCTCGGCTCTGGCTTGCTTTATTTATTTATTTTTTGGTTTGTTTTCTTTGGTCTTCCCTCCTTCCTCCCTCGGCCAAAATGCAGGGGGCAGGAGTGTTGACAATTAATTGGTGAACTCTCCTAAAAAAATGGAGGCAGAGAAAGACTCTGGAAGAAGATTGGTGTGTAGCTTTTTTTTTTTTTTCCCCCAAATCTGTATCTGGCATATGATAGATCTTTTTTTTTTTGGTTGTTTCTCGCTGCCTTTTCTTTCCTTTTCTGTATTTTGCAAGAGGACCGGGAAAAAATAATAATAAATTGCATGCAAAAGGAAGCAAGCTGCTTACTCCAGTCCCTTTTGAGGCTTAGAGTCTCAGACACTTAAGTGGGGAGGTGGTATCGCGGAACGGCGTGGAGGCGGGCTGAGCAGGCTCGGGGTTCGCCCGGAATCTGGGGGGCTGCGGGGCCGGGCGCTGGGCGGTGGAGGGAGGAGGCAGGGGGATGCGGGGAGTGCTGGGGGAGTCTCCTTAGGAAGTGAGTGTGCGCGCGCGCTTGTGGGGAGATGAGGCAGCTGCTGGTGCGTTTTGGGGTCTCCGATCGGAGCTTTGTGGCGGGCCGTCTGCCTCTCCCCCTCCCAAGCCCCGATCCTCCTCCCCCCACCTCCTCTTCTTGCACTGGCGGGCGGACGGCGGGGGCGGCTGGGGTCTCAGCCCTTCCATTTCAGCTTTCCAGCTTCCCCGGTAGCTCGGGGGCGGCTCCAGCTTTAGAAATGCCGCCGGCCCCCGGTTCCGGCTTCCCGGCTCTGCCGCCGCGGCCGCCGGGGCTGCTGCTACCGCCGAGCCGGGCGCCGCAGCGGCTCCTCCTGGGGCCTACATTTGCCCCGCCAGCCCGTGTCCGGAGCCCCCTTCCCGGGTTACATAACCAGGCTCTCGGCCAAGTGGGCAAAGCCCAACACATTTCGGGGGCGGGGGACAGGGGAGGGCCCCCAGATGTCCCTTCAATGGCTTCCAGAGACACAGGAGGGGAGTGCCCGGTGTAGAGCGCAGCTGGACCCTCGGGGTGCGGGCCCCTCTCCTTGTCCTGCTTTTCAGCATCTTTGGCAGTTGCGCAAAGTTGCCTGGTTTGGAATGGTGGGGTGCAGGGGGCGCGCGGCTCCTGCACCTGTTAGTGCTGGGCCCAGCTTTAGAGGCGACCCTCAGCTCCCCCAATAATGTCCCGGGCTCTCTGGTTTGGGTCCTCGCAGCGCCCGATTGACCGCCAGCGATACGACGAGAACGAGGACTTGTCGGACGTGGAGGAGATCGTCAGCGTCCGCGGCTTCAACCTGGAGGAGAAGCTTCGCAGTCAGCTGTACCAGGGGGACTTCGTGCACGCCATGGAGGGCAAAGGTGAGGCGCCCCCTCCCCGGTCGCCCTCTGCGCCGCGGGCCGAGCGCACGTGGGGAGGGAGCTGCCGGTGGCTGGGTTCGTATTTCGCGCCCGCGTCCCCCATTCCAGGGGATCCGGTGACGAAACGAGGCCGAGCACTGGGGGGGTGGGGTGGGGTGGCGAGAGAGGAGGGCAGGCGGTAAGGGGGGCCGGGCATGGGCCTAGGCCCGGCCCGCGCCCACCACCAGCCCCAGGGTGGGCAGAGTCAGGGGGCCAGCGGACAGAAGGACCTGAGGATGGACTGGCGGACCGAGGGAGGGCGGGAACGTCGCGTCCTCCCCCTCCCCGAGCCGGTCGCGCTCCATGCGCTGCCAGGGGTGCCGTCCCCTGGCTGGAACTGGGTTCGGGGCGCCCCTCGGGCATCGGGTGAGGCCCCCCAGGCCTGAAATCCTCACAACCCCGCGCCCGCTCGGGGCCTGCCAGTGAGGAACTGGTGATGGGGGCGAGGTGGGTGTTTGGGGTGATGCCCCCTTAGGCCTGGGGTCTGCAGAGCCGCGTTTCCCCGTGGGCTCTGCCAGATTGCATCAGGGACCCCCTGCGCCGCGAAGCTGTTGACCTGAACCCCGACCTGGGCCCGAGCTGTCTAGCGCCACAGCCTTGACAGGTTGAAGCCGGGAGTTGGGGTCGGGGGTGACTTCCCTTCAGGCTTCTGGGGGAGATCCCTGTCCCCTCGCAGTTTGAAGTGAGGAAATGGGTCTCCTCCCAGGCCTGAGACTCGGAGAACTCTGTCCCTTGGGGGCCCACCCAATTTACAGCGGAATTTGGGGACGCCTCCAGGGTTTTGGAGACCTTCAGGGCCTGGATTTCTTTCTGGCTCTTCTACTACGGGAATGGTGGGGGTCACCCTCCAGATGTTAAGGTGACATCCTCGCTTGCCTCTGAGGCCTCCAGAGCTCTGGCCCTCCCAGCCTGCAGCCAGTGTGGCTCCTGGTTGAGGAATCAGCCTTGCCTGCCCGATTGGGGTTTGGAATATGCTCTACCTAGCCTTCCCAGGCCCTTGGCTCATTTTTCCCTCTTAGATCTTTGAATTTCCTTTAACTTACAAAGTTTCCATTTTATTCCCCCCCACCTCTTGGAAAACCCTTGCATCCCTCAGTGAGCTGATAACCGGAGTGCCTCCTTCCCTCCTCCAGGTTCTGGTTGAGTGCCTGTGGCTCTGAGGTTAGCCCTGAGAAGAGACTGTCCCAGCTTCGAAGTTTTGCAATTTGTCTTTTGTGCCCATCACCTCCCGGGGCGCTGGGCTCTGGTGGTGAGGAGTAGTTGTTGGGGGAGGGAAGAAGAAATTTCTCCCAGCCTGCCTGGTCCTAGAGCAGGGTGCTAGTCCAAGCTGATTTAAATTTTCTCTGCATAAATGGAATTTTAATTCTTCTCCTTTCTTCCTCCATTTTTACTGAGTTGAGCCTTTTGGTGGATCCTACCTGCAAACAATATGCAAACTCTTCCTAGTCATTTGGGAGGAATTCTCAGCCCAGGATTTCAGAGCTTTTTCTCAGGCTCATTTGAGGAAGTTGAAGCTGACCTTGGGGGATGGGTGCTTTGGGTGGGTGGGTCTGAGGGCCGGTATTCCAGCCTCAGAGAGCTAAAGTGTATCCTTAGATCTGCTGTCCCGGCTTCTTTTAAAGGGGAGGGCCCTGGGCTTTGCTCTTTAATTCAGATCTGGCCCCAAAACTTGAGGGAGGAGCTGAGAAACAGGAGCCCTTAGCCTGGATTCAAAATACATGCTTCTTAAACTTCTCTTCCTTTAAATCCTTAGGAATCCCCATTCACTGTGAGCCCCTGGGGATCTGAGCTGCTGAGGTCAGGGCTTTCCCGGCTTTGGGTTTTGTTCTGTCTCTCTTCGGAGGGGAGTTGTCTTGGCCTCCTCCTCCCTCAGGCTGCCCTGTGAACTGTTTCCCTGGGCTAGCAGCTTCAGTGGCCTGAGGCCGCTTCTGTCTCCCTTCTGACGGTGGGTCCGATCTGTCGGTCGGTCAGAGAGGCCTTCTTCCCTTGTGGATTACTTTAGTTACCTGAAGCTTTGGGGTACATGAAAATTTATCTCAAGCCCCATCACCTCCATATTCAGAGGTGTATGTTTGGGTCAGATTCACTGGATTCAGAATTGGGGAAGGAAGGAAATTAGTCAGCGGCCTCCTTCATCCTCCAGGACTTTGGGTAAGGATGTGGGGTCTGCACTGGAAAACCCCAGACATGGAGTGAACCTGGGGATTTTCCTTGGGTCCTTCTATGTTCCCCTTATGCAGGCTTCCCCCAGGAGCCTCCCTCCCTGTTATCCAGCTGAAGCAAGGACTGTGATGGCTGCAGCAGAATTTCACTCTTAAGACAACAAAGCTGTGCCCAGTTCCCTAGTTATTTTGGCACCAAATACACAGTTTCCAGGGAAACCGGCTTTTCCCCCCTCCCCTTCACTAGGCAGGATATTACAATAAGATTTTCACTGATGCTCAGCTACAATGCGGGCCCTCCTCCCAGCCTCCTCTCTGGGCCTTCAGATCCTCCCAGGTGGCATTCTTCAATTTTGCAGTCCCTTTACTTTCTGAGCGAGGCTTGGGATGCGTGTCTCTGTCTATCCCTCTTTCCCAGCCATGGCTGGGGCTCCTTTTGTGCGAGGCTCTTTGAGTCTTCCTCCTCAACCCTTGCTGGCCTTGGGCTGTTCATTGACAAGTTTGGACCGGTGGGGCATGCAGGGAATGACTGACTGAGTAGGCAGAGGAGCTGATCGTTGGCATGGCTTCTCTTGGGCTTTGCCTAATCCATTTCCCGATCATTTTCCAAGGAGCTTTTGTCGTACAGCTGGTGCCTGCATCTCCTGGACCCCCTGCCCCTTCGTCCATCAGTTTTCTTCCCGTAACCAACAGATCCCGGTTCATTTGCTCCTTCGTGACTTAACCAACTTGTTTTAATTCAAATATCCAAACAGATTTCAACTATGAGTACGTACAGAGAGAAGCTCTCAGGGTTCCCCTGATATTTCGAGAAAAGGATGGACTGGGAATTAAGTAAGTTGCTGAAACTAACCGCTCCTTCCCCCGTCTTCCTCCCTAACATACTTTATAGCTTGGGATGGATTTCTTCCACCCTCTTCCCACCTCTCATCACTGAGAAGGATCTTTTTCATGATCTGGGAACAGCATCTCCTTGTTCAAGGCCTGACAAAGGGGAAAAACTCTCCAAAGACTGGTCTTTTGCAGGGACTTTGGGCAGAGAGGACGTAGGGGAATTAAGCAGTGTTGACTTTTTTCCCTGACCCACCCCAGTTACACTCAGTGACCTCCTACAGTGAATTGTACCTCTCCTTCCCCTTGCCCCAGAGCAGGAAACTGAGGCAGAGCCTGAGCTGCAAAGAGACAAGTCGGCCTCTAAGCCCAGACCCAGAGCACTTAGATACACGTTTCTTACGCAGATTCCCACTGCATGTGTTTCCTGGAGTGCCAATGTCTCCCCTTTCTTTGCCTGCCCCTCAGCCTGCCCCTCCACCCCTCCACTCTGTCTGTTTTCATTCACTGAGATCTGTCAGAGCTCCAGGTGGGGGAGAGGTCCCTGAGGCAGGCTGGAAGAACAGGTTTCTGCCCCTTGGGCAGGGGTAGGGGAGGAGGCTTGGGGTGTCATCCCAGGCTGCCTCTCTCCAGCATCTGCTGCCAGACTTGCTCAAGAGTCGATTCCTGTGAGTAGGAATGAAACCTTGGGCATCATTGTTAATTAACAGTGAATCGTAGCCCATATTACCAAATCCCTGGAACTGCTACAATGTATGTCTTTTTTTCCCTCTGAACTTAAAGGGGTCTCTCCCACTTCCCATACAACTCCTTATGGAGAGTATTTTCTAGAGGGAGGAAGAGATGTAGAGAGGGTTACCCACCCTGAAAGAAAGCAGGTGTTTGAATCTCCAGCTCTGGCCCCTACCTTTGACCCCATACTTCAGGCTTCTTTGGAAAAATTGGATGGACAGTGGATGTCCCACCATCTGCAGAGGTTCAGGTTTGAGTTGCCTCTTGGGGTAGGCAAGGGCCTCAGTGCTTCTGGGATGACCCTCCCTGGAGGCATCAACGGGTCTTCCTCCCTCCCTCTGGATTTTCTCATTTTGAGTTCTCAAACTGAGGGCAAGGGGCCTCTTTTGGAAAAATGGTTTCCCTGGGCCAAGGGTAGAGTCTTGCTCTGCTGTCTGTGGCCTCTCACCACAGGTCTGTGCTCCTCTTTCCCCAGGATGCCTGACCCTGATTTCACAGTCCGAGACGTCAAACTCCTAGTGGGTAAGTCGCTTGCTGTGCGTGTGGCTCAGAGATGCTGAAGCAGGGAAGGGGAAAGAGGCGCTCACCACCTGCCCGTTTAGACTTTTAAAGGCCTCTCAAAGAGAAAGTTCCCACGGGAGGGGGCAGGAGCAGGTGTGAGCTGCAACCGTTTCATTCTGGAGAGCAGGTAGGATTGCAAAGTCAGAAGAAGCTGTATCAGAGGGCGTTGGCCAGTTCACGGTTTTATGAGGCCCATTTGGACCCTGCCTCCAGCCTGGGTGTCAGCAACACAATCTTAGATCTCTCCTCTGTGTTTGTTTGTGGGTTGCCTGGTAAATACTGGGTGCTCTGTGATCCCTCATAGACTTTCAGGCTTTCGAGGGGAGTGGCCATTCCTCTTGGTTCCTCAGGGTTCTAGACAGGCCTGGGGCAGGGCTCGGAACTGTGAGCTCGGCAAATGCACACGAGCTCCTTGAGCACCTGCAGGTGGCTGATGATGTAGTGCTCTGGACGCTCGGCCAGGTAGTAGGTGGCATTTCAGATCTTACAGGCTGTCGTTCGGACAATCTATTCTTTCCAGAAAAACACACTTTGGGTACATGGTCAGAGTTGCAAGTGGATGGATAAGTTCTCTGCCCGCTTGATGGGTGCAAGAGGCAATCAAGAAGTAAACAGTGGATCAGGTGCGGTGGTTCACACCTGTAATCCCAGCACTTTAGGAGGCCGAGGCGGGCGGATCACGAGGTCAGGAGTTCAAGGCTAGCTTGAGCAATATGCTGAAACCCTGTCTTTACTAAAAATGCAAAAAATTAGGCGGGCATGGTGGCACATGCCTGTAGTCCCAGCTACTCAGGAGGCTGGGGCAGGAGAATCGCTTGAACCTGGGAGGCGGAGGTTGCAGTGAGCTGAGGTCGTGTCACTGTACTCCAGCCTGGTGACAGAGCAAGACTTGGTCTAAAAAAAAAAAAAAAAAAAAAAAAGGAAAGAAAAAAGGAAGTAAACAGTGGGCTGAGGGGCAGTGACTCATGCCTGTGGGCAGATCACTTGAGCCAGGAATTTGAGACCAGACAATAATAAGTGTTAGCAAGGATATAGGGAAACCGGACCCCCACACACTGCTTGTGGGAGTATAAAATGGCACAGCTGCTTTGGTAAACAGTCTGGCAGTTCCTCAGCAAGTTAAACACAGTTACCACGTGATCCAGCAATTCCACTCCTAAGGACATACCCAAGATAAGTGAAAATGTATGTTCGACACGAACCTGTATGTGCTAGCAGGACGTGGTGGCAGGTGCCTGTAATCCCAGCTACTCGGGAAGCTGAGGCGGAACTGCTTGAACCCGGGCGGTAGAGGTTGCAGTGAGCTGAGACTGTGCCACTGCACTCCAGCCTGAGTAACAGAGCAAGACTCTGGCTCAAAAAAAATTAAAAAAATTTAGCCGGGTATGGTGGTGTGTGCCTGTAGTCCCAGCTACTCAGGAGGCTGAGGCAGGAGAATCACTTGAACCCGGGAGGTGGAAGTTGCAGTTAGCCAGGCCAGTGAGCCAGTGCACTCCAGCCTGGGTGACAAAGCGAGACTCTTGTCTTTAAAAAAAAAAAGGAATATTTCAGAATTTAGTGGGGATGGTTATACAGCCGTCCCCTACATTGAATATACTACTAAAACCAATGACTTGCACCTTTTTTTTGGTGGGTGGGGGACAAGTTTCACTCCATCACCCAGGCTGGAGTGCAGTAGCGTGATCTCAGTTCATCACAACCTCTGCCTCCCAGGTTCAAGTGATTCTCCTGCCTCAGCCTCCTGAATAGCTGGGGCTACAGGCACACACCACCCAAATGGCTGGTATCACAGGAATGTGCCACCACACCTGGTGAATTTCGCATTTTTAGTAGAGAGGAAGTTTCACCATATTGGCCAGGGTGGTCTTGAACTCCTGACCTCAAGTGATCCGTCTGCCTCAGCCTCCCAAAAGTGCTGGAATTACAAGTGTGAGCCACTGCACCTGGACAACTTGTACATTTTTAAATGGTTAAGTGGCAAATTTTATAGTATGCAAATATTACCTCAATTTTTTAAATGTGACCACATGTGGTGGTTCAAGACCAGCCTGGGCAACATAGCAAGACCCCATCTCTACAAAAATAAGTAAATAATGCAGGCTGGGCGTGGTGGCTCACACCTGTAGTCCTAGCACTTTGGGAAGCCGAAGTGGGAGGATCGCTTGAGGCCAGGAGTTCAAGACCAGCCTGGGCAACGTGGCAAAACCTTGTCTCTACAACAGACGCAAAAATGGTCAGGTGCAGTGGCTCACGCCTATAATCCCAGCACTTTTGGGAGGCCGAGGTGGGTGGATCACCTGAGGTCAGGAGTTTGAGACCAGCCTGGCCAACATGGTGAAACCCCATCTCTACTAAAAATACAAAATATTAGCCAGGCATGATGCTGGGCCCCTGTAATCCCAGCTACTCAGGAGGCTGAGGCAGGAGAATTGCTTGAATCCGGGAGGTGGAGGTTGCAGTGAGCAGAGATCAGACATTACACTCCAGCCTGGGCGACAAGAGCAAAACTCGGCCTCAAAAAACATAAAAACAAAAACACAAAAATTAGCTGGGCTTGTGGCAGGTGTCCATAGTCCCAGCTACCTGGTAGCTTAGGTGGGAGATCACTGGAGCCTAGGAGTTTGAGGCTGTCGTGAGCCAGGATCACGCCACTGCTCTCCACCACACTCTGTCAGGGCAGCAGAGCGAGATCTTGTCTCAAATAAAAGAAAAAAAAAAGAAAAGAGGGCAGTAGAGGTGGCCGACACCTGTAATCCCAGCACTTTGGGAGGCTGAGGTGGGCAGATCACGAGGTCAAGAGATCGAGACCATCCTGGCCAACATGGTGAAACCCGTCTCTACTAAAAATACAAAAATTAGCTGGGTGTGTTAGCGAATGCCTGTAGTCCCAGCTACTCAGGAGGCTGATGCAGGAGAATGGCTTGAACCCCGGAGGCAGAGGTTGCAGTGAGACAAGACTGTGCCACTGCACTCCAGACAGACTGCCTGTCTAAAAAAATAAAGAAAGAAAGAAGAAATAAGCATGCTTGAACCCGGGAGGCGGAGGTTGCAGTGAGCCGAGGTCATGCCACGGCACTCCAGCCTGGCGACAGAGCAAGACTCAGTCTCAAAAAAAGAAAAAAGAAAGCAGGAACAGCCTCCAGCCCCCTCTCCCTTGGCATTTCTGTGACGATCAAGTGGAGTGATGAATGTTAAAGTGCTCTGCAGAGGGACAGCTGCTCTGAACTGGGAGGAGGCCCCGACTGCAGTTGGCATGGGAAATTATGATGCCCATTTTGGTCTTTGAGTTGCACATAGGCTTTCGGAGAGGGTGATGGGGCACATTTGTTGTAAGTGACCTAAGTGCAAATGTAACTCTAGCTGTCATAAGCAGAAGAGAATTCACTGGCTTGGGTATAGGTTCAGGGTGTACCTCCAGGCACATTGATGTCTGGATGCTCCAACGTGGTCTTGAGAAGTTGACTCTGTTTCTCTTTCTGCTTCCCGCTTCAACTCCCTCTTTCCGCTTCATTCTTTTTTGTTTTTAAAGACGTTTATTTGGGAATAGAGCATTACAATGGTAATATGCATGCTATAATAAACGATGTGTGTATTCAGGGAGGTAACGGAAGACAAACTTTTTTTTTTTTTTTTGAGATGCAGTCTTGCTGTTGTGGCCTAGGCTGGAGTGCAGTGGTACGATCTCTGCTCACTGCAACCTCTGTCTCCCGGGTTCAAGTGATTCTCCTGCCTCAGCCTCCTTAGTAGCTGGGATACAGGTGTCTGCCACCATGCCCTGCTAACATTTTATTTTATTTTAGTAGTGACAGGGTTTCGCCATGTTGGCCAGGCAGGTCTCAAACTCCTGACCTTGTGATCTGCCCACCTCAGCCTCCCACAGTGCTGAGATGACAGGCGTGAACAACTGCACCTGGCTGTCCGCTTCATTCTTGGCAGGCTTCTCCCCATGGGAGAGTAAGGAGGGTGGGTGAAGAAGGAGCCCACGGCAGCTTCAGACATCTATCCTGCCAGCTCAGAGTCCTTCCCAAACCCTCGGTCGTTCCCTTAAGTGTCTCTGGATTGGCCCTGACAGGCTTAGCACAGCCTTGGGCCAGACCGGAGCTGCTGGCTGGGGTCAGCCCAGCACAACCACGTGGACTGAAAGTGGGGAAGCAGTGATTCTCCAGGGTTGCTGGGTGACATAAACACAGCCCTAACAGACTTGACAAGTTCTGCTGTGGAGGGCAGTGTGTGGGGAAGGCTGGGCCAGTCTTCCCAGTCACTGCGGGGTCACAGCCTCTGTCTTCCACTGTCTTGCCTTGCATCATGGCGGGTGGCTGTTTGAGAAACGGACTTGTGCACCACCAGGTGTTCAGGCCACAACTTGGGGCTGCAGCCTCTTCTCTAATGTCCTAAAATCACGCTTTTCTCTATCAGCAGTCTGTTCCAAGCTCCAAGCCATTTTTTTTTTTTTAACAAAAGGCAGTTTCCATTTCTGTAACGCTGTACCCTTAAAAAAAAACCCATTCATTGAAGTATAATATACATACCAAAAAGTTCACATATGGTAAGCACATAGCTTGATTAATTTTAACAAACAGAACACATCAGAGTAACCAGTACCCAGAACCCACTGTGTCTGCTTGTCCAGTCTCTGCCCGCCACTGCTGGTGAACCTGACTTCTAGCTGCATGGATAAGTTTCACCTGTTTTCACACTTTATGCCAGTGAAATTGTGGAGGATGTCTTCTTTAGTTTTTGGCTTCTTTTGCTCAATTTTGTGGTTATACAATTCATCCATATTGTTTCTCATGTGTAGTTGTAGATTTCTTTTTGTTTTTTTGTTTGTACGTGTGTGTGTGTGTTTTTTTTTTTTTTTTTTTTTTTTTTTTTTGAGACGGAATCTCACTCTGTTTCCCAGGCTGTAGTACAATGGCGTGATTTCAGCTCACTGCAACCTCTGCCTCCCGGGTTCAGACTAT